AGGGAATATAGTAGGAATCTCTAAGAAGACAGGCCGTCCACATGCCTCTAACACCATTCATGCCACGATGAAAATCATTATGTAGCTCCCTTTGGGAACCACAGGCAACTTGGCTCGCTCAAGAGACAAACGAAGACAGAGGAAAGGAAAGGATGGGTCATCTCTCCAAGAGTGGCTGCTCAACAGACCCAAACCAATCCAGTTGGGGAATAAACAAGGGTAAGGAGGGAGAAAACGGAGAATAAGCGCCATGGGTGATAGGAATGTCGATGGTGAAGATTGATCATTTGGGGACGTCACCGGAGAGAAAGAGAAATGCGAATGCTGCAAGAGAAAAAGGAGATGGGTATCATGGAAGGTGCAGCGATCTAGTCAACCACTTGGCAGTACAGCTGGATTTCACCGACCAAACCCTTCGCTAGCATGTCCCGGTGCTGCTCACGCCATTCCATAAAGGCAAGCTGAACAGCCTCGTCACTATCGATGGTGACGAAATCTCCATCCTCATCGCGGTAACGTAGGCGAACGGTTTTATTGCCTATGGATCGATTTGTAAACCGAGCCAGCTTGGCATCCACGCGATCCGTCAACGACCGGAATAGAATGTTAGTTGCAATCACCAGCGTGACGTAGTTGTCGTCGAAGTTGACCTTAGCCTTCAGTTGGGTAGGCATAAACGGATCCCCGTCAGGCTCTTGACTCAAGGGAGAGGTAGCTTGTTCGGAGACCAGCCCCGAGTTGTAAGATTCATTATACTCCGGCTCGGTGAAATGTGTTGGGTGAACATGATGTGGCTGCGAACGTATTGGGAGTTGGCTGTTGGTGGGAGAGTTGTTCTGGCTTCGGTTAACCGGAGCCTTCATGTTGGCCATGTGCGCGGGAATAGGTGGCACAGGGACATTATCGACGGTCTGCATTGTGTGGGCTCCCATGTACCGACGTGACTCGGGTGGCAAATTGTTATGGTGGTGAATATCAGGACTACTAGCAGAACGCATACGCTGGGCAGTTCCGTTGGCAGCGGCAGAAACTTGGGATCCGGAAAGAGGCGGTAGAGATGGACGCTGATTGCCCCGCCCATTGGGCTGTGGAGGGGGGTAGAAACCTGTAGGTGTGCTGCCATCTCTTGAGGTTGCCCGGGACAATGCCGGCGCAGTATAGCGGTTGTTTTCCTCGTTCCAGACGGAGGATGCAGAGGTAGAATTGGTATTTTGACGTCCAAATGAGAACCCGGTTGATTGAGAGCTAGAACGCGTGGATGGTGTCTCTGCAGGTGAAAAGTATGAACTCATGTTCCGATCACTAGGAGACATGTTGCCAGCACCTGAGAACTGGGTATGGACTGAAAGTGCCGGATCAGTGCCGGCATATCGAGGCCGACCATTCACGTGAGGAACTGAACCAGTACTACCGCCGGTGGCAGACCGAGTTCTCAAGCTAGTACTGGACGCATTCCGGCTCATAGGGAATTCGGAGTAGTATGTCGGATCTTTGGACACGTCGTCGACTTCGTACTCCTGGTATGGATTCGGTATGTTTGCCATGCCCTCCAAATAGGTGAATTCGCTGTCAGAGGTGCCGGTATTCCGCATAGTGCGTCGCTCTGACTGAATGGCCCGTTGGGTGTCGATGTCCTTGTACCAATTACGCATAGTATCCTCATTCGCATAACGAATAATGAAGTTGTCCACCACGCCTGGGTCGCCCTTCCAGAAGATTTGGATGCGGTAAAGGCCTAGGGAGAGGCTGTCAGAACGATTCCACTCATATGTCGTAAGACTACTCACCAGGCTTTTGAAGGCAGACAATATCAGTGACATTAGCCATATAGATTCGACCTTTCAATTGGAGACGAGCCTTTCCTTTAGCTGTAAGAGCTGGCTTGTCTTTGTTCATCATGAGCTTAGTCTTCTGCTTGTTCGGGTTGATGTCTTTGCAGCATAGAAGGATGCGCTCGAACAGGAAAATATGATACTGTCAAATCGTATCAGCAAGGACTGTTCGCAATATAGTCGCATAGAACCCCCCAAGGGGCTCAATGTGCGAAAAGAAACTCATCGATACATACCTCTCTTTCGCTGTCCTTGCCACTGTCCCCTTTGACCACCGAGAAAGTACCGAAACGAAGCAGTTCTCCAAATGAATCCATCTTCAAGGATTTCCAATCATCGACCCGCTCGGACAGGTCTACCACTGCCGAGACCAAGTGTTCCTTGTGGATAGCTTCATTTGCCGAATCAAGTGTGACCTGAATAGAATCGATTGCTGCTGTGATATCAGCCTGGAGTTGTTCGTCTTCCAATTGTTTGCGAAGCTCCTAGGGAGATTGACACAGTGTTAGTCGAATAAAAGATACTTAACAAGTATTAGAAAACTTACTGATAGCATGAGTGGATACCTAGTCAAACGCTGAAAAGGTTTGACAAAGAATCCGTTCAAAGTTTTAGGCTGAGCCACCATTTGCTGAAGGTCTACGTGACGCGGCGCATTCTTGATTTTATCCCACTCTTGCATACAAACTTCGTCGCAGCGCATTTGGTTCGCAATAAATGGTTCGTACTGTCGGAAGGCATCTTCATGCGATGAGAAGAGATGGCCCCAGTTTTGACTTTCCTCGGGAAGGGCATAGTGCTGTTCCATCCGAATCAAGAAACGCTGGGCAAAGTCGAGCAGATTGTTCAAATTCAAGAAAATCTGGTGACTTGCGTCACCTGTCAGAGCACCAGTCTCCTCCAATTCCTTCTTCAGCGCCTGGAGGTTCTGCAGATGGTGAACATAGTCGCGCTCAGTTTCCAAAAGCTCCTTAAGAATATGCTCCCGCTTGGTGAGTTTGACGGCTTGTTTTTCATTGGGGGCATCTGTCACTTCGGAGGGGCTTTTCAGTTGACCTTGAATTTCAAGGATATCCACCACGCGATTGACCATCTTGATCACTTTGATAAATCCCGTTGTGCTTTCACCGTAAAGATCGGTAATTAAGAAGCAGTCTTGCTGGGGGAATGCCAGCTCCTGCAAGCATGCCTGCAGGAACTTGAAAGTAGCAGCTTTAGGCCGCTTCGCTTCCGGCACTTTGGCCGGATCAACAACCAACGGCTCCTCTGGCGCGGATGCATTGTAGAGATTCAGAAGGGGATAACCGTCTCGAAGAAAGCTCCACAGTGAAGCCACGGGGTCGGTGTTTCCGCGCTGACGATCGTCTTCATCCATCTTTTCCAAGTAGGGTTCAAAGGAAGGCACTTCCCAGAGCCGCTTTTTAAGGTTGACGCAGCTCTGGTAAATTGATTCACCACCACGCCGGTTGATGATGTTGTCCTCGGCGACCGGAATTCCGCTCATCGTGGCGGTTTCGATCATGTTCAGGTGCCTCGACCAGTTATGTGAGTCAGACCAGCCAGGCTCAGTTCAAATCCGCACAGCAGACCGGGGATGTATATCGAAAATGGGGGGGAGCGACGAGCGTCGAGCACGAGATGCCGATCATGGAATGTTCCCGCGACAAAGGTAGTTGAAGGGAAGGTGAACACCGCACGGCGCAAAGAATAAGGTAAAACGATTGGTCGATTTCCGAGAATTGCCAACAGTGCCACCGGAGTGTGACCACAAGTGGCGTTGTCGCTGAGGTATATATATTGTCTGGGGCAAGCCCGCTGAGACAGCACAAGGATGTATATCAACCGAGAATCTGACGCGCCGCCACTTTCCTCCGAGGGGCGGTGACGGAATTCAAGAAGGATAGGAGACCGGGATACCTTCCAACGTCAGCGTAGCCCAATCTATGGGGACGCGAGTGTTTTCTGATTTTCTCCGAATCGAAAGTAAATGCTGCAGCCGGGCAGACGAAGGCCGACTGTTCGAAATAAAGAGTGGTTTTCAAAACCCCCTGTCAAGAAGACTGCTGGTCGCTAGGACTTTGAGAGCAGAGAAGGGGGTGGAGGAAGAGTCAACTTCCGAGAAAGGAGGTTAGTAACTACCCTAGGAACCTGAATCGAGGCCAAAAGACACAAGATAGAGGGGCAGCGATGAATGGGATGAAGGGAAAGGAGAGGAGGGAGCGGAAGGAGAGGGTGTTCGTTACCCGAAATCGGTTTAGCGTGTGTTCCATCGGGCGGTGGGATGTGGAGAGGGGCACGAGTCTCAACCTGAGACGTTAGACTCTTCACAATAGTCTCATCTATTTTATAGTTCTAGCCTAGATCTAGATTGGCTCGGTGAATGGTCTAGCTGCTAGAATATTTGTCCAAAGTAATATGTATAAGGTTGAGTGAAAAGCATATATATTGGGCACCTACCCTAGGGGCCCCATTGTGGAGAGGTATGTGATTGTGGCCCCCCTATACATAAAATTCATAATCAGACAATGCTATTCTGCTTTTGCGTGAATATGAGGGGCGAGTAGGCAGCTACTAATATGACATACTCTGGCCTAATGTACATCATTGCCATATGGCATATGATATGTTATCTATCAGTTCTACTAGTTGATCGCTGCAGCCCATACTTCAGCCTTCCACGTGACTTATGTTTGAAAGGAGCCATTCCAGTCAAAGCACGAACAATGTTTGTTGATCTTAGGTTCATTCTTATCAACAGGACCGGTGCTCTTTTTGTTCTTCTTTCATCGTTCAGTTGTCCCTTGATCAGCTCACAGTTTATGGTTCGTACTTCTGATGTGTTGATTGCTCTCCACCCGATCTATCACTTTCTTGGAGTGGATCCCGCACCTCCGTGACGTGACATAGCACGGAGCCCGAGTCCCCATCTCCCATCCAACCGCTCCTCTGCGTAAGAGGGATCATCCCTCTGCGAAACCTTGAGATATCGCGTCAAAGGAGGCTCGTGATATTTTATTTTTTTTTACTCCATCAGCGGGCGCGACCAGTTTCTAGACGAGGACTGCATCGCCAAGCTAAAAACTCACTCATCCGATCGCCTCTCTATCCCCCCCCCCGAAAGCCATACTCTTACGCGCTCGATCCAGAACGTGATCTTTTATCGCATCCATGGAGGGGGAACAGGCGACAGACCCCCCTGCCCACCCCGAAATCCACATACAGACCACCAGCTTTCCGGGGTATTCTGCACAATCACTTTCCCCATCGTTCAAGGTAGATGAAGGCTATTCGGACGAGACTCGGAGTCAGGCAGACAAAGAGGCTGTGACGGACAATGTCATGATGCTTCCAGATTGGGTCCTTTCCCAAAGCGAATTTGATAGAGCTGGTAAGTGTTCCTCATGTCTTTTGGTGGCGGTCTCCAGACCCCTCAAACTCTTTGTCTTCTCCGCCCGCTCATGCAGCCCTCTCTCAACCACAGAACTTGCATATAGCCTACTTCGCTCGCTCTCGACATCTGCGCTTTCGGGAGTGGTAGAACGCGTCCATCCACTACTTCACATGGACCCCGTTGTCAAGCTACCTCCCGAATTGACATTCCAGATCTTTTCCTACCTCGATCCTCGTACCCTCTTGAACCTTACACTCGCGTCTCGTTCATGGCGCAACCGCATCCTCGATTCTGGCTTATGGAGAGTTCTGTATATTAATGAAGGTTGGCGCGCAAACTCTCGTGCGATCTATAATTTTGAACAAGAGCACTCTGAACCAATCTCTCCGCAAATCCGCAAGTCACGCCCACGACACTCGGAATCTGACCTCGGTGAACCCAAACAGAAGAAGCGTGTACCGCCATCATGGCTTGCTTCGCGGGCCACTGCGGACCCGGGTGCGGTAGAGACCAACGGCCATCTGCTTGCCGAAGCGGACAGCGAGGGAGATCATCATATGGCAGACGCGAACGGAAGTGTACCTCTACCAGTTGACGAGATCGATCTTGTACAACCTACATCTTTTCCTCAGATTCCTTCCATGCTCCAGCCACCACTCAAATCATCGATTCTTATTCGGCGCCCGAACGGGACTGCCAAGGTCAACTGGGTACACCTGTACAAGCAACGCCGGCGCCTTGAAGAGAACTGGCAACAGGGACGCTTCAAAAATTTCCAGCTACCTCACCCTTCACACCCAGAAGAGGCTCACCGAGAATGCGTTTATGCCATTCAATTCCAGGGCAAATGGCTAGTCAGCGGAAGTCGGGACAGGACCGTGCGCGTTTGGGATCTGGAGACCAAACGACTATGGCATCGTCCGCTAGTTGGACATGCAAAGTCTGTACTATGTCTACAGTTCGACCCAAGCCCCGACGAGGATATAATTATTTCCGGAAGTAGTGACCGTTCTGTGATTGCATGGAAGTTCTCCACGGGTCAAAAGATCCATCAAATACCAAGTGCGCACGCTGATTCAGTCTTGAACCTCAAATTTGATCGCCGATACCTTGTGACCTGTTCCAAGGATCGAACGGTTAAAGTATGGAATCGGCGAGAGCTATCTGTGACAGATGAAAACTATCCTCGTGTCTGCAAAGGCGGTGGTGCAAGTTATCCCTCCTACATCATTGATCTCAATGAAATGGCACCGAGTCTTTTGGAAGCAAGCTTGGCCAATGGGCGTATCAAACCATTGGAGCCTTACTCACTTCTCATGATCGTCGAAGGGCACGGCGCCGCGGTAAATGCCATGCAACTCCAAGGCGATGAGATTATCACAGCCTCGGGGGATCGCATGATCAAAGTGTGGAACGTTCGTAGCGGTACTTGCTTGAAGACTCTCATGGGACATGAGAAAGGCATTGCTTGCGTTCAGTCCGATGGCCGACGGATCATTAGCGGCAGTAATGACAACACTGTACGGATTTATGATTACATTTCCGGGGCTCAGGTCGCCTGTCTTAAAGGGCATGAAAATCTTGTTCGTACCGTCCAGGCAGGATTTGGGGACCCCCCGGGAGCCGACGAGACGCTGAGACGGGAGGCATTGGAGGTTGAAAGTGCATTTTGGAGAGCACAGCAAGAAGGTGATAGTGTTGATATGGCACCAAGGGACCTGAGACGTGCCGGTCACACATCAAATACTGCGGGGTCTCGAGATCCTCGTGATATCTCTGCTATCGGTGCAAAAATTCCTCCAAATGGAGGAGGTAGTTGTTGGGGCCGTATCGTGTCCGGCTCCTACGATGAACATATTTTCATCTGGCATAAAAATCGAGACGGTACCTGGTCCAGAAGGCATGAATTGCGTCAGGCTGATGCAGCGTCCAACGCTGCTCGAGCCACCCTGACACCTGCAGCCCGAGCAGCTGTTTCGGCGCAGGCTCAGCAACTACAAGCAGCACAGACATTGATGGCTTTGCCCACTGCCCAAACTGCAGGTCCAGCTCAGGCCTCTGCTCCTGCACCCACACAGAATACTACTACATCTACACCAGAACTGGAAGATATAAGTGCTGCTCCTCCTACTACCGAGGCCTTTCCTGCCGGTCCCGCGCAGCAAGATGATGCAACTCCGCAGCCTCAGCTACCAGCCCAAGCAAATACACCACCCCAACCCAACCATCAAACACTGCAACAATTGATCGCCCACCACCACCATCACCACCACCCACACCCACACCGACCACTCCAGCCAAACCCACCAACCTCAAGGGTATTCAAAGTCCAGTTCGACGCGCACAAAATTATTTGTGCTAGCGTGGACCCACGAATTGTAGGCTGGGACTTTTGCAACGATGACGAAGAGATTGTCGAAGCATGCCAATTCTTCGAGAGCCTGTGAATGACTTGTTCCTAGCCCTCACATTTTGCCTCTGCTACGGGCCCCAGAGGACTACATGGGCCATGCTAGTTGATCCGGGCTGGGCACAATAAGTATAGGTGCACCATGTACCGATACAGATGAACTAATTTTTGCTTTGCATGCACTCTTGTCTCAACTACTTCCTTTCCTGATTCTTCATTGATCTTTCGACTTCTCACCCTTTCTTCTATCTAATATTCACCAATTGCATTTTGAGCCCCTACCTATCGTTGCTCTCTTCTTCATGGGGTCTTAGACAACTAAGGCCCTTACCCTTTTTCTGCATGGAATATGTTACCCACATGACTCTTTACTACTTCTTGGTTACTTCTGGAATCCCCTGGCATGGCGAGCTCTATGATCATTTTACTATTGTCGTCATTCGGCATCATGCATAGCATCTAGATGAAATAAATGGACTCTCACGAGGTTTTTTAATAATTCCCTATATCTTTCACCCACACCGGATTGATCCTGACATGTAAGCTCCGGATGATTCAAAAGTCAGAAATTTATTGGTTGTAGTTCAAATAGAGTTCCATCCTTGTATTGAAATAAGAAAAATCCAAACCAGTCTCGTTTCTTTCTCTTCACAGGACACTCCGGATCAAAAGCCTTGGAACCAAAAGACCCAGACCCTCGAGTAAAAATGATAAGGGTGTGTAGGTGAGCATTAGTCAAGTGGAAGTTAACCAAACGAAAAGATGGAAAAGACAATGAAGAAGCGGAAGACCCGCGAATGTGCCAAACGAAGACAGGGCATGCATATACAAGGTCAGAATCATGGAGAAGACCCAATCCTATTCCCACCTGTTTCCATACCCGAAAGTCGACTCCTTGCCGTCGTATAGGTTTCCCTAGAATTGATTATCTCAAGGTCATCGTTGTCCTCGACAGAACCACCACTGACACAGCAGCAGAGGTACAGCTGAGTCGGGAGCCAAGCCAACACATCACAAACAGTATATGTTCCCGCACCAAGCAATTCAGCTTCTCGGCGATCACTCGGTGTTCGAATAAGATCGTATCGTGGCTGTGGTAATTGCAGAGGAGATATCGGTCCGGTAATTGGTTCTTGCGTTGTTCTTTGAGCGGGGACAGATGCTGGAATCAGTGCTCGTCCGAATATACCCAAACCCATTTTACGGATTATTTTCTTTCGCGGAGGTTGAACAGGGTAGTGTTTCGAGACACTGGTATCAGCTTCTATTCTAGTCCGGAATAAATCAGGACTAGCTTGAGAGATAAGAGCGACACGAAGCGTGTTCTGGTGGAATGGGTGGTCCTCTAGTTGTCTTGCTAAATTCGTACCATGCCCACTTTGTCGTTGCGGAAACCTTCCCTGGACAGTAGTTCCGTCTGGTGCTCGTCCAATACCGATGCTACCAGATACAACTGGATCAGTATCAACTGTGGATTGCAAGCCAAGAAATCTTCGAAATGCTTCGCCATATGAGCTGGAGCATTGGCCGCTGGCTGGTAGTCCGTGTGGGTGGTTAGGTACCAAAGCCCGCGGTCCGTTGTGCCCAACGAGAAACTGGGCAGAGCAGTACATTGCTTCTGGGGTGTTGAACGACGGGAGGCCAGGAGGAGTGAGTGATCTTTCCAATGGAGGGTATGTTGGTTGAACAGTCCTCACAGCTGTTGGCATACTTGATCCAGGCCAACAGGGATATTTCCGGGGGCTCCTAGGACCATGACCGTCCACCGCATCGAGAGAGATAGCTTTGCGGTGCTGGTTTCCTACCGATTCGGTAAGGTAATCCGCTTCGTTCAAAGGACTTGCGCCCAGTTGCGATTTATGACAAGCCCCATTGTCAGAGAAGAGCTGATTCCGCCACCCAAGTTGGTCCGCTCGCTGTCTTGATATGAAGAGACGTCGATGCTGAGTTAAAGGGCGGCCGTCTTGAGAGGACCCTTGTGATTCTGGTGGAATGAGCCTAGCCATATTAGCTGCCAACCCTCTTTCCACGATCGAGCCCATCGTGTAAGAATTCTCGTAAAGATGGGGATCCTCATTGGGCGTAGAGACCCGGACTGCATTAAAAATAAGATTTTCATCGCTGTAGAAAGACTCGGAGGAGTTGGAGTGCTCCTGTGAGAATGGTGCAATGGTTGAGTCGCGGGAGGATTGGATGTTGGTTTGTCTGCTGTAGTATCTAGGGCGTGGGGCGCGAGAAGGTTGACTAGCATCTCTCGCATGTTGAACTTGATGGACTGACGACATAATGAAGGAAATAAGTCAGTCAAGGCTGGGCAGAAGATATCCAAGGGTGAATTTTCTAGAAGAAAAGGATATGAGTGAGTGACAACGCCGTCGCGCTTGCCGCGAGATGTTAATGCAATATTATACAAGAAAAGTCTATATATACAGTCTTTATGAGAACCAAATCCGAGAACGTAGAACATAATCATCATCATAATGGGGTTCCAACAGGACTGGGCAAGGGTTTGCCCGTCACTTGAGCGTGTTCCTTTCTCAGGGCCCGCAACAATCCTTCGATTCTGCGACGCTCTTCTTGTTCCGCCTGTATTCGTGACGTTAGCATTGAACTCCATGGACAGGAATGGATTACACATACCTTTAAAATCTTCATATTTTCGTTTCGAGTGTCGCGCATCATCTTCTTGAACTCGTTCTTCAGGACCATTGTGGAGGTCGTCTCCATGGTAGGGTCGCGGCCCATTGTTGTTGGACTGCTCAGGTTCATCCAACTAATGCGCTCCTCGCTCAGCTGGGTCTCCAATTGCTCACAGCGATCGCGCAGACTATCTATGACACCTTCGAACCGCTCACGCTCCTTCTCAAACTCAATGCTGGCCTTGGTCATGGCCTCGTAATCATCTAGAGTCTCCCGGAGCTCCTTCTCCAGGGTATCCGCGCGTTTCTGGATGTCACCACCACCTTGCTTGCCCCGAAGCTCGGCTAGCTCCTCTGCCAACTCAATATTGCGTGTATTGAGGGCATCGATCTCCTTTTGAATTTCAGGATTGAGAGCCACCTCCGCAGCTCGCTGCGCCCGGGTACCGTAAGCACCGTCCAGCTCTGCCTTGACCATTGTAAGTTCGGTTGTGATTCGCACAACTTCGCCCTCAAGATCAGTCATCTCCTTCTGAGCACGCTCCGCATTCGCCTCAGCCTGGGCACGTTGTTCTTCAGCCTGTGAAAGCTGGTTTTCCGCTTCGGTTCGCTTCTCTTCAGCCACGGCAAGTCGCTCTGCTAGGGCTTCTTGTTCATCAGCCTGTGTCATGTTGCGGCTGGCCTCGGCATGACGCTTTTCAGCCTCCACAAGCAGGCCTTCAAGCTCAACACAACGCTCTTCAGCCTCGACGCGACGCTCCTCAACCCGCTCCATCTCAGATTCGACATCAGCACAACGCTCTTCAGCTTCCATGCGGCGCTTATCAACCTGCGCAATCTGAGTCTCAATCTCAACACACCGTTCTTCAGCCTCAATGCGACGCTCTTCAACATCTGCAATCTGGGATTCAAACTCGCCAAAACGTTCTTCAACCTCGATGCGACGCTCTTCAACTTGTGCAATCTGAGCCTCGACCTGAGCACGACGTTCTTCAGCATGTGCAAGCTGAGCTTCCATTTCTGCGCGTTGCACTTCGGTCGCTGCGAGTTGATTCTCCACCTGCACACGGCGATCAATGGCCTCCTGAACAGCCTCTGCCACAGCTTCCTGCACACGAATATCTGCCTCTTCGCGGGATTGCTTGATACTGGCTTCTAGGTGAGCGGATCCCTGGTCTGCACGCTCACGGGCCTCCATGGCCTCTTGAGCACGAATGTCAACCTCGTTTTGCAACGAGTCAACAACACTGTGCAGGCGAGCGACTTCTCCTTCGGCTTGCACCAGGGCAGCCTTCATCTCTTCTTGAGTAGAGCCGTTATTGCGCATACCCTCGAGCTGCTCCATTAACGCAGCTAGTTCGTCCTGAGCGGCCTTGCCCTCGCGCTGGGAAGTTTCATGCTCCTTGCGCATATGGGCCAGCTGCTCAGTCAGATCACCAATGTGGGCATCACGTTCCGCATCCGACTTGGAGTTGAGTTCACGCTGCTGCTGGATTTGAGTAGTCAAGATACTTTTCTGCTCTATCAGGCCATCCACCCGGCTTTCCAACCCGTCGATACCGGTTTGAAGATATCCGAGTTGCTCCTCTAATCCCTCGCCATCAGTTGCGCTTGGGGGAGGAGGCAGAGTGGGCGATCGAGTCAGCCCAAAGCGGTCGACGATGCTCTGGACTCGGGTGTTGATCACCGTGAGGTGCTGTCGCCATGCTCCCTCAGCTTCGGGGGCAGTACCAGGGCCAACGAGGTTTGGGAGCGGACCGCGGGAAGCAAGAGAGTTCATGCCACTTTCGATATACGCCAAATGCGCATCGATATTTCCTGCAGGGTCGGTCGAGTCGTGCAATTGTGGCGGGGGGTCGACGAATTCATCAGGAGTAGATTGAACCATCATATTGCACACTCGCTGGCTCAGTTCGTCCAGTCGCCTTTCCGTGGCTTGCATAGCCTCGTTGCCCACCACGGAAGCCGCTGCGGGGTTGATATCAATGCGTCCATTTAATCCGTAGTGATCCATATGCTCCGGTGTTCGGTAAAGATGGCGGTCATCAAAGTCATATCCCTCGTCAAGATCAGAAGCCTGCGCATCCGGGTTCTTCGGGGTCTTTCTTAACCCTTTATGGGTCATCTGCAAGACACCAGCCGTGTGCTCCAGCAAGCGTTGGTTAATGTGCTGAGACCGATTTTCCAGTTTCCAAAGCTCCTGCGCCAACTCTTCGCACTTGCGCTGACTCATAGCCAGTTCCGAGTCACTTTTATCGAGTACTTGGGCGGTTCCGCTACGGCCAAAGATACTGCGGCTCCTCCGGTGCGCCTTGCCATTGGCGCCATATTCACCGCTGCTTCGGGGGCTAGGCGGGCCGTATAGTCTGCCGATGGATTGAGCTGCGTCGCGGAGCTTGGTCTCGAGGGTGAGTTTGCGCTTGGTGCCTTCGATCCGGCTGGATAGGAGCGAGCGCTCTTTCTTGAGGTCTTCCACCTCTTCGAATGACAAGATCTCGTAGTTCGTGCTGTCGCCCATGGCGGTCTCGGTTAATAAATACATGGTGACAGGGTCGCTGGTGTTGACAAGCGCGGAGCTTCGGGGGTGTGCCGGGTTGAGCTATAGATTCAAAAACATTGGTGAGCCATGGAAACGAAGCCGCGGGTGTCCACGAATTTCCCCTTACCGGATTGTACCGCGCCCGGTCTTCATTCTGGGGGTTGGCCGCATCACGATAGCCATCGACGAGGGTTTTCCCTAGGGGCGAGGGGGCGTGGACATCGGAGACGGTGGCCGTGGACAGGTATCGAGGGTCTCCGTAGGAAGACTCGCTGGATCGGAGACTGATGTTCATGGTGGTCGGCTAGGCGCGAATGCGCCAATTAGGGAGTGAAGTTGGAAATGTATTCAGGGTCTGCAGATACACATCGTGTACGAAATAGAGAAAAGTGCCGAAGGCTGGTGGGAATACGTGGACTCGGAGGGTCTCAGGGGAAAGAAAAAAAGGACGGGGCTGAAATTGAAATGACTTAAAGATGGCGGGGACGAAGGAGACACTGATCTGCACGGAAGCTGAGGAACTCAGCCACAGCATTTTTTACCTGGACCTGAGATCCTCTAGATCCTTTGTGATCGATCATCTGATTATCCTCTTTGTCTTCATCATGTTCTCATCTTACATGTATGTAAATGTCCGGGTCCCGACCTTCTCTAATTTATGCATGTTTGTAATAGATCCACTTCCTGCCAAGTCCCGAATTACAGTTATTAAACGGACTAGACCTAATTAATTCCAGTCCAGACTATATTTGGAGGATAGCCACCTATCTGTCTAGGGTTCCCTCCAATGACAAGTTAGAGTATAAATGATAAAGAAACGGTAAACCTTGATAGATGATTTTCCATGTAAGCGAACGCCCATGGCGTTCCCCAGGCACAGTACTTCGTCCCGAATACGTAACTCTGCGGGGTTGCATGTACCAGGGTTTGAAAGAAACCGAGGATCCATAGGTCTGTGACATATGCAAATACTACCTAGTCATCAAATACTCTTTTATCTTCACTTCCCCCTCTCTTCCCTTGTACGCTCCAATAATGACCTGAATGCATACTCAGGATGGCTGACCCCAAGACTGAGGAAGCATACGTCACACGACCTATATACAAGGTCTATAAGCGACGATTCTGGGGTCTTGCGCAGCTGGTCCTGCTCAACATCGTCGTCAGTTGGGATGTATGTATGATTTTACATAAAAACAAAAGACTCGGTCGCTAACCGGCTTGATCATAGTGGTTGACATTCTCATCCATCTCGGGTACGGCCGCAGAGTACTTTCAAGTATCGGAGAGCGCGATCAACTGGATGAGCACTGGTTACCAATTCGCATTCTGCACTGCCAGCCCGTAAGTGAATCTGAACTTGAAAATAGGAGGTATGCGATTTGGGGAGGCTAATAACCATTTTTTGTCTCGCAAAAGATTCGTCATCTGGGTTCTGAACAAAGGCGGTCCCAAGCCCGCTATCATAATCAGCGCAACCCTTTTACTCGTCGGGAACTGGCTGCGCTATGCTGGTACCAGGGCTAATGGTGGTATCTTTGGGCTCGCCATGTTCGGCCAGATCTTGATCGGTCTGGCGCAACCCTTCTGCCTGTGTGCGCCCACGCGATACAGCGACCTCTGGTTCTCCGACAAAGGAAGGACCAGTGCCACTGCTGTTGCCAGCTTGGCGAATCCGTTGGGTGCGGCATTGGGTCAGTTAATTGATTCAGAGTGGGCGTCCAAGCCCTCAGACATTCCTAATATGGTCTTATACATCTCTGTCATCGTGAGTTGACGCATCCCTGTGAAACACGTGAGGATCCGGAACTAACCATTTTCTCCTCTTTATAGTCCTCTGTCGCATCTATTCCATCATTTTTCCTACCAGCTGCACCCCCGACCCCGCCCAGCGCATCATCTGCCATCCCTCGCACACCATTGATCCCAGCCACGCGACAACTACTAGGCACTGTAGAGTTCTGGCTAATTCTCATCCCTTTTGCCGTATACGTGGGGTTCTTCAACAGCGTCTCCTCGCTGCTTAATCAAATTCTCGAACCAAATGGCTTCTCCGAGACCGATGCCGGCATCGCAGGCGCCATCCTAATCGTTGTGGGTCTGGTTGTAGCAGCTGTGGTATCACCTCTCACAGACCGATTTAAACATTATCTTGGCTCGATCCGTATCTTGGTTCCCATCGTGGTAGCCTCTTATATCGGGTTGATCTTTGCCCCATCCAGTCCGGCAGGCATTGCGCCGTCATACGTCGTCATGGCGCTCATGGGCGCTTCTTCTTTTTCACTGCTTCCTGTCGTGCTGGAGTATCTGGTTGAAATCACGTATCCGTTTTCTCCAGAGATTGGGAGTACCATCTGCTGGACGAGTGGTCAACTGCTTGGGGCGTGCTTTATCCTTATCCAGGATGCGCTCAAGGCTAGCGGCAATGCTACCCCAGCATATAATATGCGGAATGCATTGATTTTTGCATGCGTTGTATGTGCTGCCGCGGCACCATTCCCGTTGTCGCTTGGCCTCTTCGGTAGAACTGTGACGCGGCGGAGGCTAGAAATTGATCGTGGAATCGAGTTGCAGGGGTCAGTATCCCCACCCGAGGAGAAGAAAGATGGACTGAGTAAAGAGATTCCCCGGCAGGTATCAGCTTCTACGTTAGATGACACTGTCAAGTTGGCTTGAATGGATACATTGGCTTTGGACCTGTCACTTGAACTTTATCCTGTACACGCTTTTTTTACGCTGTATACATAAGAAAACCTTGCAGCTATGCTCTGTTCTTGCCATGTCCTGGTCTTATTTCTATTGTCGCCCATTCATGAAACGATCTTCTTATTGGGTGTTGATTTGATCATACGCAATTAGGGCTTCCGAGAAACTTCATCTGGTCAGCTGAGGTTATTTATACCCGGGCTCTCGTTGAAGTCTCAATATTTCCCATCATTTTGAGTTATATGCATGAGATTCATGTGGTCTGTTTAGTGTTTAGATATATGGCGTTAATCTGACATATCTTTTGGACAGGTGCATTGTCAAATGCGACACATAGACCAAGTTGATCTGTCCGACTGTGAGCCTGTGGCCCAGTCAGGCCGGGGAAACGCAAGATATATCAAGCTTGTTCTTCGGGACTGACCTTGGGAGGTATAGATCGCTCCAAGAATAGACGGGTATCATTTATACATCAAACAAGGGCTCCAACGAAGATTGTGACAACGTTACTATTCATCAAATCTTGATTATTTCTAGCTGTCGCATCGTGATTTTTCGAATGAGATGTTTGCAGCGCGGGCATCTGTTTGTCAGCTTTGTTTGTTCCATCACTTGCCCAATATGTTCCCAAATCCTCTTTCTCCAAGTCCCTACTAGAACTTGCTGCTCACCTTCTAGATAGTGACTTAGAGCGAATGATTATGGCAAATTCTACATTATCTCTAAGTTATTTGAACAAGCACATCCTTCTTCACGCATGCATGTTCAAACCGGTCACGAAAGTTCTCAACGGAACCTAGGTAGTTTGTGACATGTTATTAATCCTGTTTCATGGATCAAGTGCCAGTCATTTACATACAGAATCGATGCCCGAGGCCCTGGAAGGACTTCGTCAATTCTAGTGGGAGTTTTCAACCGGTGGGTAGCAGTTTTAGGAGCAAAGCATGGGAAAGAGAATAATATAAATGTCCGTCTGAACAGATGAGATTCGTCTTAAAAGCAGAAAATAAAAACACAAGCACAGTTCGAATAGGCGGAAGACCAGCTATCTGTACATGCAAGGCAGAGAGAAAGAAAGGATATCTATTATGCTTTTTTTTTTCTCTTTTCCCAATAGTTCCTTCCTCCCTGCCTTGAAACACCATATGCGTACAGGGGAGGACGCAAATGAAAGCCTACTGGGCTTTCATTCCGGTAACCCCGTGCTCTCAAACTAAGGTTATTGTCGGCAGACTGTCAGAGCGTAGAAGTGACAGTCATCAGGGAAACAGAAACAGGATTTGCTTTTGACACTGTGGCATCGCTCGTGTCAATGACACGAACATGAAGGGAAGTCGCGCGCCAAAAGAATGAATCCGACGATCCGTTTACTTAAGCTCGCGCCAGAGCTTGGGAGCGGCGCAAGCGGTGACACAGTGGGTGAGGTGGAAGACTAGGGTTTATGTTAGCCACCTGAATTCCGGATAGACAGACTTCATGAATCCAAGATTGTATCGGAACTATGGGTATTCATTGCTGTCAAGACTTACACTCCTCAACACAGTCCTCCTTGGGGCCCTTGTAGTCCTCATCCTCCTCCTGGCGAGTGACGCGCTCGACACACTCGTCGTAGTGGTGCTTGTAGGGGGCGCACTGAGCGGAGTGGGCGCACTCTGGAAAATAGGCAGGTTAGTCGCGGATACACAGAAGAGAATTGAGATGATATGAGGCGGATTGCGGTGCCATTGAGGCCTACGGGACACGCGGATGAATCCGAATGCCTCGAGCAACAATGCGAAATAGCCGCCCGACCGCCGACACATTGCCACGAAGCAAGTGCCGCTATATCAAGCAAAATTGCAAATATAGCAGGCTCAATGGTAACGGAAACAAAAACCACTCACCCTCCTCGAACTTGGGCTTGAGGTCCTCAGGCTCATCCTCCTCTTCCTCCTCCTCTTCTTCCTCTTCTTCCTCCTCGGCCTCAGCCTCGGCCTCCTCCTCAGGGGCCTCCTCGGAATCCTCAGCGGGGGTCTCCTCAGCAGACTCGGTCTCCTCGGAGGGCTCTTCGTTGGTCTCCTCGGTCTTCTCGGCGGGCTCGTCCTGGGGGGTGGAGGACTCAACGTCGGGGGCGGGAGCCTCAGCCTGGGCCTCGGTGAAGCCCAGGGAGGAGTAGACGTCAGAGAAGAAGTCGGCGAAACCCATTGTGACTGTCAATTGAGGGGACAGGGACCGGTAGAGATGGTGGATATTGGAAGGGGTTGATGATTGAGTGTTGGTTTTCCAAGCTCGGACAGGAAAATCGGGACGCCCCGGCGCTGAGCACAATTGTACCGCACGTGATTGGCTGTTGGCTTTCGCTGACTATGGCAATTGATTTAACTTACTATTACTCCGGAACATCTGAATGTTATTGGATTCGATTAAGCAATACTCGACATGTCGCTTTTTCCTTCTTCTTCATTATATCGTTAATTTTCGAAATCGCTACCAGGCCAACCAATGCACCACCCTATTACCGTCATGCTCTAAATGCCGCGCATGAACCTCACCGCGCTCGAGTCTTAAAACGGAAGGTCCTATTATACATGCTTGTTTCCCGGCTGCATCAACAGAACTCAAGCAAAAAACAAAAAAAAAAAAAAAAAAAAAAAAAAAAGGATGAAGGGTCCTCGGATTTGCTATTCATGTTTCGCTCAGATCATATTAATTCAAAGTGAATCAAATCAACTGGCCCTCCGCAAGCGCTCCTCAAGGGCATCGGCTACACTCTGTTGTTGAACTTCTTCATATCCTGGTGGAGGCTCCATGGGCTCGGGTCCAATAACCGATGCTCGTTGGTTATTCGCTGGTGGGTTTGATGTATGGGTAGGAGCAGTGGGTTGGCTAGTATTGTTCGGACCCGGGCCCTCGTAGGCTGGCAGCTCCTCTAGATGCACCCCAGCGAGATCTACGCCTTGTAATCCCCGAGCGCTCTCGCCTGAGTTTTCCACTGCCTGTTCTAGGCGTTCTCTGATCCGTTCGAAGTTGGTGTGGAAATCGAACGCGCCGCCTTCTTTGAAGGTCACCTTTACCTGGACAGCTGGGAGGGATGGAGAGATGCCTCCACCGGCGACGGGTTTGATAAGTGCAGTCCACACATTGGGACCGAAAAATGGGGCGGAAACGTGAGAGTCACGGACGTTGAGTAAAGGAGACGAAAAAGATTGTAAGTTTTCGGATGTCTGGGAAGGGAGGTAGACTATCTGTTCGGGGTCAACCAGTGGTCAGCACTTTGACAATATGAGAGCCCGGGGGCGCAAAGGCGAAAAGACAGACCCTCTGGTTGGTAAGGTAAATGCAGCCGGCGCTACTCTGAAAAGACAACGCCTCCGGGCCCTTGTACCCGGATGGCGGCGTTAGCGCTAGGGTGGTGCGTGGAGGTGAGGTGTATATCAAGCGTTCGTTGGGAAGACGGACGAAGCCTTCCCGATCATGAAGCATCACCCAGCTGCATTTGTAGTCAGTTTGTGCCTTCTGCTTATCAGTGGAGGTATTTCGGCGATCTGGGTACTAAGCAGGGGGAAGCATAAGCATGCACGTACTTGATAGACATTCTGACCTTTGGCGGTCATGCCACAGCACTGATTGCGCAGAGATGCGGAGAAGGTAAGATAAGAAGGTCAGGGTTGAAAGATCCACAGGAGGAGGATTCAGGTTCATGTATGCCCAAAAGATAATTTCAGGGTCTGGAACCCTTGGTTATCCGGTGTCGCGGAAGGGAGAAAATCATCCATCTGCGGGGCAAGCGGGGAAGTTCTGCAAAGATGACTGGTCTTCCAAATCATTATGCCCAGACGTTCCTTCTGATTGAGTGGTACCAGGTGATATCTTTCTTTGGGGAGACAAATGAAACACTGAATTCCCCCCCCAAAACCAGAAACTACCCGATCTCTCAACCACCTGCAGATATACTCATCTTTTCCCCCGCTCTATCGTAGATCCCCGCGCCTGGACGCAGGAAATTTCCATGTCGGGCTTAGACGGATCTTCCCCAACAATTATAGATGCATGTCAACCGTTGGGCTTTATGGCCCCCAAAGATTCATTTTTGTTCTGCCCTTGTTCAGGTTTTGCCCGTGGTGGGTATTTACAGATCACGATGATAACATAGTCCTGGTATACCCTGGTGGGGACTACGGATATAAGAATATTGTAGAATTGGCCACTGGCCCCAATCCACAACGGGTATCGTATGTTTTAGGTAAAGTAGGTTCTGAGTATTTTGTGTGCACAGAGCTCAGGACAAATCATTAGAAAAACCTAGATAAACTGCCTATAGTCGTGTGAGTGGATTCTTGTTCTAGAAGCGTCCGAGGAAAAGCGAACGCGCTAAAGCCGGATCCCCAAACCTTCCGGATTTGATCAGGTTTATTTGTTCGCCCCTAAGATTTTTTTCTTCCTTCGCTCCACACTTGTGCACTTGTTCTTGCGTTTTTATTCTTCTATTGTACTCTCCTCATCATTATTGTGTGTGGCCTGAACGTCGCATAGACAGAAAACTACTTGGTGGGGCCCAAGAAAAAAAACCAAGCTCTCTCGACGTCAGGTTCCGGCGGGTCCAAGCTCGTGCAGCTCACCTGCAACTTCATGTCAACGCCGTGACATTCCCACTGATCACGCCCACTCGAGCCTCTTGGAACCATTATTAGGCGCTAAAACGGCACCATGGGCAAGCAACAGACAAAAATCCCGCCCCTCATTGGGTGGCTGTACGATCTGGTGCTCTGGTCCTTCTCCGTGCTCATCGACCTCTTCTTCCGCGAGGTGCACCCGCGAGGATCATGGAAAATCCCTCGTCGCGGTCCCATTATCATTGTCGCCGCCCCTCATGCGAATCAGGTATGTAAATATGCCCCCTCCTCAAGCTTGACCAAGGTCATGCAGCTAACCAGACCCCTTCTTTACAGTTTGTTGATTCCCTTGTTCTCATGCGCGTCATTCGCAGCGAAGCGCACCGTCGGATTTCATGGCTAATCGCGGAGAAATCTTTCCGACGTAAGTTCATCGGACTGCTTGCAAGGGGCATTGGGACGCTTCCGGTGGCCCGCGCCATGGATAACTTGAAACCTGGAAAGGGCACGATCTACCTACCCGACCCTGTCAACGAGCCGACTCTTTTGCGAGGCGTGGGAACAAACTTTGAAGACCCAGCATTTGAAGTAGAGGGCACGATTGCACTGCCAACCATCAAGGGAACCTCCCACAGCACAGCAATTGCGGAAATCCGCGGACCGGAGGAACTCGTCCTGAAGAAGCCTTTCAAGCACAGGGATGCATTATTCCAGCTTACAGGCAGAGAGGATATCGATAAGAATGGAAAATTTTTGGGAGATGCTACAGATAAAAATCCGGACTTCGAGGGCACCAAGTTCAAGGTGGCGCCACACGTGGACCAAACTGCTGTCTACGAAGCTGTCTTTGGGAGATTGAACGCCGGTGGCTGTGTGGGAATCTTCCCAGAAGGTGGTAGCCATGACCGTACTGAATTACTTCCCCTCAAAGGTAAGCCATATGTTGCTTCTTTGGTCAATGTGCTTGCCGACTAACGTTCCTTAGCTGGTGTGGCTCTCATGGCTCTTGGTACTTTGGCGGACAATCCGGATTGTGGTCTGAAAATTGTGCCAACTGGCATGAACTACTTTCACGCCCACAAGTTCCGCTCTCGTGCAGTTATTGAGTTTGGTAAGCCGATTGAAGTCCCAAGGGAACTGGTAGAGCAATTCAAGAAAGGCGAACGTCGTGAATCTGTCGGCGCCCTCTTGGACATCATCTACCAAAGTCTCGTCGCTGTCACAGTTACCAGCCCAGATTATGAAACACTTATGGTAAGACATGCTTATTCTGATTATTTTGAGGGAAAACAACTAACAAATCACAGGTTATCCAAGCGGCCCGTCGCTTGTACAACACCAAGGGAAAGAAGCTTCCCCTTCCAATGGTCGTGGAGCTTAATCGTCGACTCGTCAAGGGATACGCACATTTCAAAGATGACCCGCGCATTGTCAACCTTCGGAACTCTATCGTGAACTACAACAAGCAGCTTCGCATCCTAGGTATCCGAGATCATCAGGTTGCATATGCCAAGTTCTCTATTTTGCAGGTGATTGCTACATTGATATATCGCTTGGGTAAATTGGTTCTCCTGACGATTGGAACATTGCCTGGTTTGCTTCTGTTTGCCCCGGTCTTTGTTGCAACCAAGTATCTCTCGATCAAAAAGTCCAAGGAAGCTTTGGCCGCCTCCACTGTTAAATTGCAGGGCCGGGATGTTATGGCAACCTGGAAACTTCTAATTGCACTTGCATTTGCTCCGGCTGTCTACGCATTCTACTCTGCAGCATTCACCTACTGGACCTATCGGAACCGAGTCCAGGGTTTAATTCCTGACTGGGTTCCCCTCTGGCTGGTGGTCATGATTGGCATGGTCCTCTTCCCCACAATCACCTTCGCTGCCCTGCGTATTGGTGAGGTGGGCATGGACATTGTCAAATCGCTTCGACCACTGGTTCTTTCCCTGAACCCTTCGTCGGCCAACACACTGGTGAAGCTCCGAGAAAAGCGCGCATCCCTTGCCCAGCAGGTCACGGACGCTATCAACACCATGGGTCCAGAGCTCTTCCCTGACTTTGATGCTGCCCGGATTGTCACAGATCCGTTCCGTGAGGTCAGTTATGAAGGTGCTGCGGATGAAGAACCGGAGAGTAAACGGGCTGGTGAAACGGAAGTGGGCCACTCCTCGCCCAGTGCGGAGCCCCTGCCTCGCAATGAATCGTTTCATAATCTGGCCAACATTGGCTTCTTCTCCACAAGACCACCAAGCCGCAACCGCAGCCGCAGCAGTTCCGCGGCACCCCGCCCTGGCTCTCGACATGGCCTTAAACCGCTCAGCCCCATGACCGCCAAAGATCCATTGGAGGACGTCAGCTCACGCATCCGAGATGCTATGAGAGAGCGTGGTGAACGACGGCGCCGCCGGAGTGAAGATGGAAGCTGGGATATGGCTAGTTCGGGGACAAGAACCCCGTCTAGTGGTGATGAATCCCGAAAAGATCTATGACCTGCTATGACAGCTGCTATTTGAACTCTGATTCTGATCCATACTCTCTTGTTCAGCGATATTGGGTTTCGGAAGCTTGTTTCTCTTTTTCTGTTCCTTAGTGTAT